CAGACTGGTATTCATTAAAAGCAGAAAATCTACAATTGAAACTCCTTTAGATTTGCACCTAGAGTAAGTCAAATTACACGAGCATCCTGACGCGGTAAATTTAGTAATCAATGTGTAGATTTTCTAATTAAAGCATGTAATAAGAACTCAAAGGAAAACTTTAACCAATGTGCTTCATATTTTTTTTCTAGCTTCTTTTGGTTTCCTTAATTAAATATTAGCTCCTCATTTTATTTGATTTTGGAATTGTGTTTCTTATTCTTTTGAAGAGTTAGTTTTGGACTTACGATACCGTGATTTTGATCCCATTAAGCCAAAATACAGTTGAGCATGTAATTATTATTCTTAAAATATCGTTCATTTTATTTAATAAAATGCATGCAATTATTTACTTTCAAGATTATTAAACAGAAAATATTCCAAAAGGTATTAGCTTCATTTGTAATTCTTCCAAGTTACCAATTATTTTTTAATAAAATAAAATTAGGTGTTAATGATAGTGAAATAACAGGAATTACTTTGAATTACAATTAGACATTGTAATTTTTTTTTTATTAGAAATTTGCTGAGAGAATGTATTCATCTTCATATGACACATCGCCATTCATCTTTCTATGCCTTCATTAGGGCATGAATTTGACACTTCATAACTAACTTTAGACACACCACTTAAACCTCTGGTTAATCAGATTGACCTGAATGATCATTCCCAACAACTTAAAACACTATCCAGTAGAGAAATTTGATAATTGTATTGCTAAATATCTATAATAATGACTTGGGGAATAGTTTTGGCCAAAGAATAGTCAATTTTAGATTACTTTAAGAAGTTCAACACCTTGATAGAGTAACATATCAGATAAAAAAAATGTCAAAATTAGATAATTGCATAAAAATCTCATAATAATTAAATTCTATAATCTCTTCATTGCTCTGCCAAATTAACTTTCAAATTAATTGTAATGACATGCACATAATAACTTACCTCACATAGATTTATCACAAAGGATGAAAAAGAAATTTACATCCACTGGTAGGATTGATTTTCATCTTTCATAGCAAGTCTACTATCTTCAAGTCAAAATTGCACGCAGGAATCCCTGTAGTTCTTTCTTGTTGCAGTGATGATTGCAATCTTCCCCAATCAGTTTCGTTAAATAAACACCTTGATGTTGCATCTCGTAGCTTTTCTTTTCTTTTTAAACAATTAATATGAAATATATAACAGCAAAAAAAAAAAAAAAAGGAGTTCGTATCCAATGTCTAAAAAAGTTTGGTTGCGTGATTGATTCCAGAACTACTTTCCCATATTAACCGATTAAGAAATTAATAATACGCTATGACCCTTAAGTCATATTAGTAATATTCTTTGAAATATATTTATTTTTTGAAGGCAGGAATAAAAATAAGAAAATGAATGAAAACATCAGTTACTAATAGCTGGATAGATGGTTTCTTGTTTTTCTTTGGAATCCCGTTTGACCTTTTTTTTTTTTTTTTTTTTAACTTAAAACATTTGTTACTCCTTAAAGACTATTCGCTGGGAACTTTTTCTATTGGGTTGCGTGGCAGTAGTAGCATTCTACCAGTCTTCTACCCAATTTTGATCCTTAGGCCCGCCAAATTTTATGGCGGAGGCTCATTTGTATTGTACGGAGTCACCGGCACCATCTTCCCTTGATGAAGTTTTAAGTGGAAAAAGGAAAAGTCTTGCGATATTGTTACTGTCATGCTGCCATTTCCTAACCGGATAAGGGGCACAAACAGTTGCAGGTGCAACCTTTTGTGACGGTTTGTGCATTTTCCAACAGCGCGTAACATTTTTTGCACGTCGCGTAATTTTCTTTACACACGGAGTAACTTTAGAACAAATTTTTGTAGGCCCCACACATGACGTGAAAATCGAGTTACATGCTGTAATTTGAGCCGCACAAATTTTTGAGGCCACATCGTGGCCGTGAACCTTCAAGAACGGTTCCTGCCCCATTTCCTTTCCTAACCATATGTAAAAAGTAAAATAAAAAAGTCTTGCCGAAATGAGTACGCCAAAAGAAAAAAAAGGAAGTCTTGATGGTGATGTGTTACCATTGTTAGATCATAAGAAAGTTTGTAGAAATTTGAAGTTCGGATTATATATGGTTATATGAAATTTTCTTCCGGGCATGTGCACTTGTTAATAAAACCTAAATTACATTTAATTTAGCATGTGAATATACAATCATAATTAATTGTACTGTATAGTTAGATACTTATTCAACTTAATTACACTTTTTTAAAAAAGTAACACATGAAACTCATTTAACGAATATACATTGGGCATCAATTAATCAAACCATACTTATATATGTAAATATATAACTAGCTAACTAGATATAAGCTCTAAAAAAGTTATTGCAACTTGTTGTTGATAAATTGATCTTCACCACTTAATTGTTGTAGACAATATTCAACGTGACAATTTCTCTTATGCTCACACCTGAAGCTCTCCTCTTTTTGTTGAGAAGGCCTTTGTTTTAGTGGTTAAGGTTGAGATTCCAAAATTTAGAAGTCTTGGATTCTAATTCCTTCTTTCCTCTTACATTCTTAAATCTCACCCTTTCCGACTTCCCTTGCTATAAAGAAAAATGAAAAAAAAAAAGCTTTCCTCTTTATTTATGGTTGTTTCCTCACTTTGTCCGCCAGCTAACAAATAAGGTCATTTATGGTTTTTTTTTTCACTTCAATTTCACACTTTAAGTTGCAATTATACTTTTGATGTTTTTCCTTTTTTTAAGCACATGTCTATCCTTAATATAACAAATAAAAATCCTATTTACCCGTAACTCCAACTCCCCCTTTTTATTATTCTGTTAGGATATAGAAATTCATTCTGTGAGGATATAGAAATTCAACAGGTCAGACGAAAAACAAGTCTAAGCCTCCTCATAGAGTAGCATGCTTGTTACAAATTGAAGTGTCCAATAATTTTAGTCTTCTCCACTTTATATCCTTAGGCCCGCCAAAGCATATGCCCGTTGGCACGATCTTTCCTTGATGAAGTTTCAAAAGGAAGGAGGAAAAAAAATAATAAGTTGATTAATTGTTCCATTTCCTCTGCTGTTTATATATTCTGTATCTTGAAGAAAAATATAAACAAGGGAATGAAAGAGGTGGAGAATAAAGGAATCATCATTGGTTATTTATTTATTTGTCAGTTTCTTAGTTTTTGAAATATATTTTGTTTTTTGAAGACAGGGAAAACAAAAAAAGAAAGAGAATGAAAACATCTGTTACTAATAGCTGGATGGATGGATTTTTATTTTTTCTTTGGAATCCCTTTTGATATATATATATTTTTTGGACTACAAACATATGTTCTTCCACAAGACTAATCTGGTGGGAACCCCAGTGCGGCTAATCTGATTGATAATTAATCTGGTTTTATTCATTTTTTGTGATGCACATTGATTGAATATTTTAATTTGATCGAATATTGTAGTGCTGCAGATTGATTTTCTTTCTCTCTTTCTCTTATCCGTTAAAAAAAAAATATTGGCAATAATATGATTGCTAATGGCAATTTCCCCATCTTGAAATGCATTATACTCTTTGAATTGCTCGTTCAAATTTCCTCTATTAAAAAGGTTGTGGTAAAAGGTATTTGTTGCGTATTTGCAACTTAAGAAAGCCTTCAGCTCCTTAGCTGAATACATCCCTAATTTTTTAAACATTTGTTAATCAAAATTTATAATATTGATTAACTCAATATGCATCGTATCCTCAAAAATTGAGAGTCTCGACTCTTGACAGCAATGTGTTAATATCATTGTTGGATGATAAGAAAGTTGTAGATCTTGAATATCAATAGCTAAACAGAAAGAAATCTGATATCAAAGTGAAAAGCAGGTACCATGATGAAAATCTCCTCGGTGAGTAACACTAGTCGCTTTGATTCTGCTTTAGATCATCTGGACTGGATAGAAAAGACTCTCAAGTTTCAGCTCGATTTTGATATCTGGAAATTGAAGATGGGGATAAGTCTATTGAAAACCTTTGATCTCTATATTAGAAGGTGTAGGAGGAGGAGGAGCAATCAGTTTATGTGTTTGGAATACGATAAGGAGGAAAATGGTGATGCTAAATCTGACAGTTCGAGACTTAGCAGTATTTCGTTCAGGATTCAAGAACTGGTTAGGGGGATAACACGTGGACTTGACTCTGCCTCTTTTAGATATATTCAGTCTAGTGCATCAGATCATAGTGACATCAGACCTGAGCTCGCCAGATTCGAGGAAAATATGTGGTTGTTTTTTGATTCAGATATCAAGGAATTGACCATCATAATTTGTTGCTCTACTACTCGCTGGGAGATTTACAGCTAGTTGTAGATTTTATTGATTCCATTTTAGAGAATCTGAATCATCTTTATAGCACATATTACAAATTTGATGAAGATCTGAAAGTTGTAATGCGAACCCTTCAAGAGAAGCTAATGCACTTGAAGAGTTTCATTCGCTTTGCAACATTACAAGGTGTTGAGGGTGTGCAATTAAAAGATCTGTTGGTTCATGTTGAAGTTGTGGCTGTCAATGCTGCAAGCCTGATCTGTAGATCTTGGTTTCAACTGTGCAATGAGATGAAAACTGAAATTTCTCAACTGATACACAAGAAGATTGATCCCATTGATCCCGAAGTCCAAGAAACTTATATCCATGTCTTGGCAGCTTCCAAGTTATCAAGATCGTCCTACACTTTGGCTATGAAGGAGAATAAGCATCAATTGGCTGAATTTGTTGATTATCTCCTGCATAGTCTTATGGAGATATTAGAATCTTATAACAGTTTTCTAGTTCCAGTGAAGGAACAAATGCTAAAACTCCAAGTGGGAGTAAGATTCCTGATCATCCTTCTTAGCTGGCAGCAACAGAAGTTTGATGAGCTAAATGATGAGATGAAGGATCTCATTGGAGTTGTGGTCTCTGATGCAGGAATTGTGATTTTCTCCCTTTTCTGTGAATGAAATGAAAGAAGGTTTGCTAAAGGCAACAGATCTGGCGCTTTCTCATTTGGTTCAAGTGCTCAAGTTGATCATTGCAGAAGTTGGACACATTTGTCTACTACCATCGTTATAATCACTTAGTTTCCCTAGGACTAACGAGCCTGGCTCTCTTGATTTTCTTCTAGAAACTCTCAAGGAACTAGCAAGCTCTACACCTGATTCAATCGCTTTCCCAAATGATCAATTATGCAGAATCCTAGAAGATCTTGTATTCTTAAGATCTTTCCTAGGAAATATTGTAGAGCAGCGCAGCCGGAATGAAAAACTCCAAGCTCTTTGTAGTCGTATTGTGAAGCTTGCATACAGTGTAGAATTCGAAATTGACTCTGCACTAGTTGGTGATCAACATGAACATTTGTTTGGATGCTGTTGCTGGAGATATCAAGCATACGAAGATAGAGGCTGAAGAGATCTATAATAGCATAAGATATGATAATGAAACCCAGGGAGTTACCAAGACTACCATTAACATGCCATCATAAGTTACTGCTTCAGTATCGAACGAAACTCTGGTGGGTCTCAATGATGAGGTAGAAAGTATAATTGATAGACTTGTGGGAGGATCAATGCAGTTGGATATTGTTGCCATTGTGGGTATGTCTGGGCTTGGTAAGACAACATTAGCCAGTAAAGTTTACAGTGATCCTTTGGTATTGTTCCACTTCCACATTCATGCTTGGTGTTATGTCTCTCACGGATATAGCAAGCGTAGTTTGTTAGTTCAGATATTGTGTTGTTTTGACGGTGGGAACTCCATCCAGTATCTTGAGATGAATGAAGATGATATGGCTGACAAACTCCGCTAGTTTTTGAAGAGAAATACGTATCTCATTGTTTTGGATGATGTTTGGGACACTGACAGGTGGGATATGTTGAAACACTCCTTGCCAGATGTTTGCAATGGAAGCAGGCTACTCACCAGCAGAATTCAGAATTTGTCTTTGCAAATTAAACCTGATAGCAAACCTCACCACCTTCGCTGGCTCAGTGATAAAAGAGAGTTTGGAATTGCTGCAGAAGAAGCTATTTGCCAAAGAAGGTTGTCCTCCAACATTAAGTGAAGTTGTGCTGCGCATAGCGAGATACTGTAAGGGCCTACCTCTTGCAGTTGTCCTTGTTGCTGGAATTCTTGCTACTACTCAGCAAGAGTCACAAGCAGGGATGCAGAGAGCCAAAATATGTTTTCACATATTAGTATGTATACTTCACCGATCACAGTAACCAGAATCAACCTCAACCAAATGACTTTCACTACTACATCTTTCCCCCTGTTTAGACAAAGTTTTTGAAACTGGACTTACTGATGTGAAACCCCGATCTAGACAACCAAAACACCATGGCTTAGGCAGCGGAAATTTGACCCAACTAATCCCTAGAAGTCACGAACAATTTTGATATTATCTCAACCCGTAACTACTCGAATTAACGAACCAAATTGGAGGTAGTAGAACGCCACAATCAAGGAGATACTCGATTGATAAGTTCGGGTGAATAACTTGAGAACATTCTCAAGTATTCAAAGGCAACTCTCTTGCCAAAGAGAAAGTGAAAACTCACTAATTGTATTTAATAGTCAAAAAACTGGTCCCAAACAAAGAGGAAGTGGGGCTATTTATAGCCCTTACAAGCATTAACCCTAATCCAAAAATTGACCAAACTACCCTACATACTTAAGAAAGATTTTGGGCCTTACTTACTAACAAATGGGCCGCAATTAAACTATCTTAATTACCTAGACTTTTTAAAACGAGAAATAACCAAAATCAACGAGGAAAATCAAATAATCCTACTAAACTCAAGCATTCGTGCAATCAACTAGTCTTCACTTGAATCTTCCAATTCCCCATGTGCTTGAATGGGCCTTGGTCTTTATATTCTCATCACTTACTACCACAATCTGCCCTGTATCTTACCAGTTAAGGATTCTTCTCATAGACCAGAGTTGAATGTTCATCTAGATTTTTTGTATCATCATTGGAGTTGTGGTCTCTGATGCAGGAATTGTGATTTTCTCCCTTTTCTGTGAATGAAATGAAAGAAGGCTTGCTAAAGGCAACAGATCTGGCGCTTTCTCAGTTGGGGTAAAATAAAATATTCTCTTGAAATAAATGGTCTCCAAACACGAGAAAATTTCGGAAACATTTTCTGAAAAAATATTTTGCAATGAAACAGAACCTTGTCCGAAAAATTTGGATGCATTTTAGCTTTGTAATTTGGAATGATGTCAAATTCAAAACAAACATCTACCACAACCTTTTTTTTTTCTTTTTCTTTTTGGCAAGTTAGCATCCTTTCTCTGCTTTTTTTTTTTGTTGGTAAAAAATTAGTAGTTCCATATGGCTACAATTTTGAATAAACAACTCGAAAATATGAAGTATTATATTCAAGGGATATTGCAATTATTAGCCAACTATCTGTAGAATTGTAGTCTCAGTATTCAACTGATCTAAATTTGGGAAATACCAAAAATGAACAAAATTAAACTTCAATCAAATGGGTAGGCAGGTCAAACTAAGCAGTAGACCGGTTAGAAGAAAGTGGGTACTTTTCACGGTTGATTGCTACACCCATTACCATTTCCTTGAATTGAAACAAGAATTTTCACAAGAAATCCAGTACATATTTGGACGTAGATATTTGTGAATGAGCAAGACAATGATAAAAACTTACATATAAATTGTGCTGGAGTGTTTGGGACCATTGCACTAGTAATCTCTCTCATTGGCCATTGCACTAGTAATCTCTGTTACTCCAGAAATTGGATTGACAAACATGAAAAGTTATAGAATTGAACTTGTTGAACATATACAAATAGAAAAGCGATAGTATATCTAACCTGATAAGAGGAACCAGCCTCTGCTTTTTACTCTCTGCTCACTCAAGAAGAAGACACATTAACAGCACCCATTGCCAAAATGTGATGAGAGGAAATCGACTCTACTTCTGAATTGGCACTAAGAAGAACCATCTTTAGATCCTTTTTTTGCACTGGCAATAATAACGATCTTTAGATCCTTATTTCCCATATCCATCTGCTCTTTCTGAATTTGCTTCACAGAATTTACTGCAGACTCACAACATCCGTTTACCTCAATCATGTCAAGAGTGAGGGCTTCCCCTAAACAAGAAGGGACCTCTTTCAGCCGATAACAATATTTCAAAACCAATTTCTCAAGAGAGCAAAAATTATCAGGAGAGGCTTCCCACCAGCGAATGTCCAAATGGGACAATTCCAAGAATCGGAGGTTGCGGAACTCCCCTTCTTCCATTTCCCACTTTTCCCCCACAAAGGAAACCCGGTATAATTTAAGCACTTCATCGTTGGGCAACTTTCCAATTGCTGAAAGTTTACTCCTTGGCCAGTATTCTGAGAGAGTCAACTTTCTCAAATTCATTGGGAATCCAAACTCATATCCAACAAATCTACGAATCTTAAGTGATTCTAAACGACTCAATTAGTTCAGCATGGGAATCCAATCATGATCTCCAGCAGATGCACCGTAGATAGAAATCCAATTGTGATTCCCATTCAGGCATGTTAGCCTGCGGATGCTCGGTAACTTTGAGAGTATCTTTTGCAAGCTTTGACTTTGAGAAGAGGGATCGACTGCAAGGGATAAAGTTTGTAAGTGTTCTAAATCTGGGGAGCCTTCAAGATTGTCCATGGGAAATTCGAAACCCATTCCTCAAAAAACCAAAAGATGCTTTAATGTTTTAATGTTCCAGATAGTGTTCGGTAACAGAAAATTGCTAAGCCATCCTCCTACAGCCAAAGTTTCTAACCTTGAGAGGTTGGCTATTGCAGATGGGATTTTCCGGCTGCCCAATCCACTGATACTCAAGTATCTCAAGTGAACAAGAAATAATACTTCCCTTGGAAAATATGGACAATAGATCTGCTCCAAATCCAGCACTCTAAGAAGTTTATATAAGGGAAATTTGTGTGACTCCTATAGGTGCTGTCCATGATTACAACCAAAGAAGAGCAAACAAAGCAAATTGGGTAAAAACAGCCATGACTTTGTAGGTCCCCCACTGGTGGTAGGGAAAATGGACACCGGCAGGGGTTACACAGTCCAGTAAAAGTAAGAAGGTCATCCACATGTAAAATCTGCAGAAAATTTTCTTCTTTTGCTTTCGCCACACAAAACTCATGTACCAAATCATGAATTTGGCAAACTTTGATCCCACCTAAAGATCTTCGTTGTGTAGGCATAACTAAACTTCTCCCAATCAGATCCATCAGATAGATATCCGCAACATCCTCTAAACTCTTTCCTTCTGTCTTTTGCACAAATCTTTCAGAGATCCAAAGCCATAACAACTTTCGAACCAGAATGTCTCTGTCTTCTTGAAATGCGCCCAAGTAAAGAGGACATGACTTCAAATAATCCGGTAGATAATTAAAAATGTGCTCAAGTGTCTCCATGCAGTGTTCATTGTCCACAAAAATGGTGGAACCTAGATGTCTTGTGAGTACCATGGTTCAAAGACTCGGCCAAGTGATCATCAAAACGGGCTTTCTGCTCCAATATCAGGATAAGATGATTCCGAGATAATGAATTGCTGATAACTTGGTCGAGTCACTGATAACTCGGTCGAGTCGTTTTCGAGATGGATAGAAATGGCCAAATCGTCTTGAATCATCTCGAATCAACTTGAATTATTATTATTTTTGCTAATTTTTTATTATTTTTGTTTATCATTTTTTTTACAAATTTTAAAATATTAAATGTTTCAAAATTTTGTGTCTCGCCGAGATTACGACGGATATGCTGGGACCAATGTGGAATGGTTTGGGCCATGACCGCATTCGCGATTGCGACTTTGAACCATACTACTGACAAGTAGCCATTGCTCCTTTTGAAACCTATTTCAATCATATCCAGAAGAGTTGTAAGTACTGGTAGTAGCTCAAACACTTGAAGAAGAGCACCAGAAATTGCATTTGCTCCTTTTCATTCTCAATTGACAATTGACAAAAAGGTTCACTGCTATATATGGCTGCTGGTTCTCAACTTTATTTCTGTTGAGACTGTTCGAGGTTGGCAAAATTATGGTGGAGTCATGGCAAAATTATATATTCGGATTGCAGGTGTTGTTGTTGGTTTTTTTTTTTCGGTTGTAAAAACAGCAACAGGTTTCATTAGACTTTTCCAAAATCTGCTGTTGGCTGAGTTGCTATTTCTTATCATTTTCTGAAGAAAACCTTAATGCCTTTGTCTATGCAACTGTTCTCAAAGTTTCAGCACTCTTCAATACATTAAAAGTGTAAAACATTTTTTGAGTCTACAATTGAATGCTGCAGTAAAGAAAACTGGATGCCCGATAAGAAGCTGCCTCCTATGAGCCTTTGAGTCAAAAGTCTCGATCAAGTGGAAAAAACTATAATCAAGTGAAAAATTTTTGAACTAAAATTTCTTTATTTTTTACAAAAAAATAAAACCATACACAAAATGGATTTATAAATACTTCTCTTTATTAAGTTCAGAGTTATTCTGTGTGCAACAACGACTATTCAGCACCAAAATAAATAAATAAATAAACTCTACATTTTGTCACTATTACACAGAGTGTGGTAGGAATTCCATAAAGGAGTAAAGGATATAGTTAGCCCTAATCTATCTTTTGTTTGCCTTTGAGAGAAAAAAGAAAGAGTATTGTTGCTCATCAAACTAACCTTTGGCACTCTCAGACTTGATTGGAAGTTTTGATTTTATGCAAGCTCAAAATTTGAACTTGAACTCAAGCTCAATTCAATTCACCATTCGATGCACTCGAGGTTCATTTGAGGTTTCGATTTTGTTTCATATGCTTTTATTTTTTATTTTTTAACCATACATACATACTTTTTGGATAATTTTAGAACCTCTGCTCAAGTTTCTCATAATACAACAAAGCACCCTTGAGATTTTTATATTCTCATTGATCCCTCGTTGAATTGATATTCTATTGGAATGCCAGTCTGTTTTTGGAAAAGCAAGAAATATAATATTTTGGTCCCAATATTGCCCTCATATAATCATATTTATGAAGCTTATATCAATAATAAAAATTAAAG